TTTTTTAAAATGTTATTGTCTCCTCCTCCCCCACCAGGTGTAGTTCGAGCCGTTGCCAGAGAGATCTTTGACCAGGTGGTCGAGATCGACCTCATCAGTCAAAACACCGAGCACCTGGACGACGTACGCACACAGGAGCACGCGGTGTTTCGGGTGCTTGTCGTGAAGTCACATGACGCCAGGCCTAGACCCGAGGGCCTGGAGAATGACGCCACAGCAGAAGATGGCAAAGTTCACGTGGACAACGAATTGTGAGTTGAGCAGTCGCTGGAGATATAGTTCATACCATGTGCAGATTATCTCGTGATAAACACACCAATGTAACCAGGTTGTTGGAGATTTGTGTTTATGTTTAAAACAAAGGTCCCTTGTTTTACTTTAGATTTAGCACTGCCACAAGGGATATGTCTAGGCTATGATTATATTTCCTAATTACGTACTCTAAAATTATCTCACGCCACACTCACTCTAACATTCAGTGACACTCTCACTAGCTTTCACTTCTATTAATACTATCACTATACTAAGAAACACAGGTGGTTCAGCCCACAAATAAATATTTAATTATAAAAAACAGAATTGACGGCCCACATACACATTACAAAGCAATGACTAATTAACTATCCGATATTTAATACAATTTTTCGATGGATTAAGTTGCGATTGGCGATCTTGTCCACTAGGCAGGTCCAACACACACGCAGTAGCCTTGTTGGTTTGGCCTCTCTTTCTGGTCACTGGTCACTGCGAACTGCGGGCGTCTCGGTGGCGTAACTGGTCTCCGGTCAATCGAGATGCGATGTGGTAGGTGTAGACTCTAACACTGTAACGGTTGGTACACACACACACAACCCTCTTGCTGGTCACTGCACTGGTCACTGCGCCGTTTCTCATTATCTAGTAGGCCTAATGACTCAACTGTACTGAGTGGTCTATACTCTACGGTATACTATACCGACTGTACTAAGTTCTACTGTACTGAACTGTACTCAACTGTACTGACTTTGAATGAGCTCATTGTACTGAGACTAAAGTCAACGCTACTAATTGTATTAACTCAAGCTAACTGTTACAAACTTCACTGTTACTTACTTGCTAGAAATGAGAATAACGAATACAGCGCATAAGACATAACTAAGAATTTAAATCACGTCACATTAATAATAATCATTCATAATGTAACGGTAACTATAGTCCTAAAACATTTCTTAATAAAACTACAACTAGAATTCTGCACATGAATAGGAAATTTAACAATACTAACCTAGCAAATTATGGATAAACAAAAGACTTGATCAACTAATTATGCCAGCCAGGCTCTACCGACAGACTTCAGGTGAAAGAGGGCGATAAATGATTAGGGGGTGCCTTTTATACTGAGTACAGGGGCGTGTGTCCTGCATACTCATATGCTTCGCTTGGGACGCTTGACCAGAGTGAATGCATTGTTTAAGCTGGGTCATGGTCAGGCTGACCAGGCTAATTTCCATTGTTCATTGAGTCATTTTTATTAGTGTAAGTCCCAGCCTAATTGTGTAATAACACGTGGGGTAGCGATGGAGCGAGTGTGAGCCAGCGGGTCTCACAAAGGAGAGGACCAGCGGGTCTCAACACAGGTCATCGTCTGTAATCGCCAATCCTTATGTGAAGCGCAGTGAGCCTAGCCCTGCGCTGGGGTACTGAGCAGTGAGCCTAGCTTTGGGCTGGGGTACTGAGCAGTGAGCCTAGCCCTGGGCTGGGGTATTGCGCTATATAAAATCACCCCCATATATGATAATAATAATTCCACTGCTCATAAAATGTCCATTTATCCCTACCAATCAATATTATGTGGATGGCTCACGGATAGAAGTGTAAGTGTGTCCACATCAATCAAATTAACGATTCCAGAAGTTAGCAGTTTGAGGCGCACAAAACATCATCTTTCATCGGAGTATTTTCATCTAAATCATCTAAGAATAAAAGTTTCTAAATAAAGTCTCAGTTGGCGGAATACAACTGCATGTTTGAATCCTCAAAAAACAATGACAATAAAATGAGATTAATAGTGCATCTGGCCATGGATTATGAGATCTAAGTTTATTTATATTGTTTGAGTTTGGAGGCGAACAACTTTTCTCTTTCCAGAATAAGGGGGTTGTGGGGTGTGTGGGGGAGGGGGTCTTAAAATTCATGTTGGTCATCCGAAAATCCCATCATAAGACGTCATCTTAAATTCTAATACTTTAGTTCTTCATCATTTTTTTTTTTGTGTGGTAATTTATTCATTAGCGCTTCCGATAACGATTCTCCATATGAAAGCTCCTGGCTACTACCTTGGTTGAGACAACAACATTAACATTGAACACAAGTATCTGAACATTTCACGCCCACAGTAAAATCTGCTTTAGCGTCAGTTCACACGATCAAATTAGCTTCAAATTTTGCGTCAAACTTGTGTATGAACGCATTATATTTTTGGACAAAAATGGGAATTTGATCAAGTAGTGATTTGAAAGTGGTGACAATGCTTCATACAAAAATTGCATCAAACACATGATCGAAAATTTGATCATGTGACCTGACGCTTAAATGAGCGTGTTAAACTTTGGCATGGCGTCACATCCCATTTAAAATCATTTTTTTTTTCTTTAGGCTCTCTATTTTTAAACGTCCCACCACTTTCATTGCATTAAATAGTTTTGTGCTAAAAAATAAATGCAATCTCTTTGTTAATTTTTCTTTAGCTGGTTTGTAGATCTCGTGTTCGTGTCTGTGAACATTGTAAAATGAGTCAAACTGAGTAGGGTTAGACCTGAAGTGTCTGTGAACATTGTAAAATGAGTCAAACTGAGTAGGGTTAGACCTGAAGTGTCTGTGAACATTGTAAAATGAGTCAAACTGAGTAGGGTTAGACCTGAAGTGTATGTGAACATTGTAAAATGAGTCAAACTGAGTAGGGTTAAACCTGAAAAAATAAACGCAACAAAACAGCGTTTCTCCCCTTATTACCCCTTGTTAACATTGGAGGGGGGGGGGATAATTATTAGTGTTCTGTTAATCGTTGGCCATTTTGAAAATAAAAGTGAGTTCAGTTCTTGGTAGCTGCCGCATGAAATCCTCGCACGCCTCCAGGGCAGCAGTGAATTTACCCACTGGGGCATCTTTTTATGATATGCGTCACCATCCACTGGGGCATCTTTTTATGATATGCGTCACCATCCACTGGGGCATCTTTTTATGATATGCGTCACCATCCACTGGGGCATCTTTTTATGATATGCGTCACCATCCACTGGGGCATCTTTTTATGATATGCGTCACCATCCACTGGGGCATCTTTTTATGATATGCGTCACCATCCACTGGGGCATCTTTTTATGATATGCGTCACCATCCACTGGGGCATCTTTTTATGATATGCGTCACCATCCACTAAGGCGCCTATTAAATAATGTTTCTCAATGTCTGTCTGGGTGAATGTCTTATTCTATTCATTACTATGTGTTAACGCGCCTAAGTCATCATATCTTCACTTTCCATTAGGGCGCCTAAGTCATTATATCTTCACTTTCCATTAGGGCGCCTAAGTCATTATATCTTCACTTTCCATTACGGTGCCTAAGTCATTATATCTTCCCTTTCCATTAGGGCGCCTAACACATGATATCACCCCTGTCCATTAGGGTGCCTAAGCCATTATATCATCCCTATCCATTAGGGCGCCTAAGTCATTATATCATCCCTATCCATTAGGGCACCTAACACATGATATCACCCCTGTCCATAAGGGTGCCTAAGCCATTATATCATCCCTATCCATTAGGGCGTCTAACACATTATATCATCCCTATCCATTAGGGTGCCTAACACATGATATCACCCTTGTCCATAAGGGCGCCTAAGCCATTATATCATCTCTATCCATTAGGGCGTCTAACACATTATATCATCCCTATCCATTAGGGTGCCTAACACATGATATCACCCTTGTCCATAAGGGCGCCTAAGCCATTATATCATCTCTATCCATTAGGGCGTCTAACACATTATATCATACCTATCCATTAGGGCGCCAGTGACGCTGACCAAAGACCAGTTTGTCTCCTCGTTCCCCTACCACCTGATATTCGACGAGACGCTGAGACTCCACCAGTTCGGTCTCAGTGTCGGCAAGCTGTCTCCCGTCAAGCTCAGAGAAGGCATGTGCATGTCTTCAATGTTTCGAGTCGTCTACCCTAGGATGACTTTCTCCGTGGAGAATATCAAGAGGTTTATCAACACCATCTTCGTCATCGCCATAGACACAGGGGACGTAACGCTTGATGACCACGCCTTTAGCATGAAGGGTGAGACCAAACAGAGTTACCTTTTGTTTATGTACTTCAGTGTTGGCATCGGTGTATTGTTTACTAGAGTTTTAACAGAAAAAAGAAAACGTCTTTGTTGATTTCATCTCTACCTCAGAAGATTTCAAAGAGCATTGTTAAATTATAAGACTAAATCGTTGTGAACTTTTTTGCTTCATACAAAAATAACTAAAATATGTGCACCTTCCAATGAATTATATCCAACAGATAACGTTTCGAGAAATTCTTTGATCATTCCTGACAACACTTATTTATGGATACATTGTTCCCTTGTAACTAGGTCAGATGATCTGGATGGAGGCAAGTAAATTAATGATTTTCATTGGCTCTCCGCGCCTGACGTCACTGAAGGAGATGAAGAGAATGAACGTGTACATGGCGGACATCCCGCTGTATGATGTCACCAGGGAAATGGTGCTGCTCTACCAGCAGAGAAACGCCGAGATTGACATCACGTATGCTAGTCTGTTGTGCCTGTGTGTGTAGGGTGGGGTGGGGTGGTGTGGGGGGGTCTGACTGGGTCTGGTAAGGGGGTGCTTATCATTCTATTTGTTTTTCTTACGAAAATACGTGTATGAAAGACGTAAACGAGATGGAATTTATTTACGAAATGATGCATTATATGCCCCCCCCCTCACTTTTGTTGTTGTTGTCAGGAAAAAATTGGATGAGACGACAGCGGAGCTCAAGAGGACGTCAAAGGAGCTGGAGTTTGAGAAACAGAAAACTGATCGTCTGCTGTACCAGATGCTACCAGAGAAAGTTGCGATCCAGCTGAAGAACGGGCAGAAAGTTGAAGCAGGTGCGATCAGATCAGATTTGGGGTTTAGAGTTTATTGTGACTCGGTGTGGTGGGGAACCAATATAGAAACACACAGGGTGTGGTGGGGAACCAATATAGAAACACACATGGTGTGGTGGGGAACCAATATAGAAACACACAGGGTGTGGTGGGGAACCAATATAGAAACACACAGGGTGTGGTGGGGAACCAATATAGAAACGAACATGGTGTGGTGGCGAACCAATATAGAAACGAACATGGTGTGGTGGGGAACCAATATAGAAACACACACGGCGTGGTGTGGAACCAATATAGAAACGAACACAGTGTGGTGGGGAACCAATATAGAAACGAACATGGTGTGGTGGGGAACCAATATAGAAACGAACATGGTGTGGTGGGGAACCCATATAGAAACGAACATGGTGTGGTGGGGAAACAGAAACACACAGGTAGTGGTGCGGAACCAATATAGAAACACACAGGGTGTGGTGGGGAACCAATGTAGAAACGAACATGGTGTGGTTGGGAACCAATATAGAAACACACAAGGAGTGGTGGGGAACCAATATAGAAACAAACATGGTGTGGTGGGGAACCAACATAGAAACGAACACGGTGTGGTTGGGAACTAATATAGAAAAGAAAACCGTGTGATGGGGAACAAATATAGAAATTCACATAGATTATACATTGTCACTGCATCCACTCACATAGATTATACATTGTCATTGCATCCACTCACATAGATTATACATTGTCACTGCATCCACTCACATAGATTATACATTGTCACTGCATCCACTCACATAGATTATACATTGTCACAGCATCCATTCACATAGATTATACATTGTCACTGCATCCACTCACATAGATTATACATTGTCATTGCATCCAATCACATAGATTATACATTGTCATTGCATCCACTCACATAAATTATACATTTTCATTGCATCCACTCACATAGATTATACATTGTCATTGCATCCACTCACATAGATTATACATTGTCATTGCATCCACTCACATAGATTATACATTGTCATTGAATCCACTCACATAGATTATACATTGTCATTGCATCCACTCACATAGATTATACATTGTCATTGCATCCACTCACATAGATTATACATTGTCACTGCATCCACTCACATAGATTATACATTGTCACAGCATCCATTCACATAGATTATACATTGTCACTGCATCCACTCACATAGATTATACATTGTCATTGCATCCAATCACATAGATTATACATTGTCATTGCATCCACTCACATAAATTATACATTTTCATTGCATCCACTCACATAGATTATACATTGTCATTGCATCCACTCACATAGATTATACATTGTCATTGCATCCACTCACATAGATTATACATTGTCATTGAATCCACTCACATAGATTATACATTGTCATTGCATCCACTCACATAGATTATACACTTTAATTGCATCCACTCACATAGATTATACATTATCATTGCATCCAATCACATAGATTATACATTGTCATTGCATCCACTCACATAGATTATACATTGTCATTGCATCCACTCACATAGATAATACATTGTCATTGCATCCACTCACATAGATTATACATTGTCACTGCATCCACTCACATAGATTATACAATTTCATTGCATCCACTCACATAGATTATACATTATCACTGCATCCACTCACATAGATTATACATTTTCATTGCATCCACTCACATAGATTATACATTGTCATTGCATCCACTCACATAGATTATACATTGTCATTGCATCCACTCACTAAGATTATACACTTTCATCGCATCCACTCACATAGATTATACAATTTCATTGCATCCACTCACATAGATTATACATTGTCACTGCATCCACTCACATAGATTATACATTGTCACTGCATCCACTCACATAGATTATACAATTTCATTGCATCCACTCACATAGATTATACATTGTCACTGCATCCACTCACATAGATTATACAATTTCATTGCATCCACTCACATAGATTATACATTGTCACTGCATCCACTCACATAGATTATACATTTTCATTGCATCCACTCACATAGATTATACATTGTCATTGCATCCACTCACATAGATTATACATTGTCATTGCATCCACTCACATAGATTATACATTGTCATTGCATCCACTCACATAGATTATACATTGTCATTGCATCCACTCACATAGATTATACATTGTCATTGCATCCACTCACATAGATTATACATTGTCATTGCATCCACTCACAGATTATACATTGTCATTGCATCCACTCACAGATTATTCATTGTCATTGCATCCACTCACATAGATTATACATTTCATTGCATCCACTCACAGATTATACATTGTCATTGCATCCACTCACAGATTATACATTGTCATTGCATCCACTCACAGATTATACATTGTCATTGCATCCACTCACATAGATTATACATTGTCATTGCATCCACTCACATAGATTATACATTGTCATTGCATCCACTCACAGATTATACATTGTCATTGCATCCACTCACATAGATTATACATTGTCATTGCATCCACTCACATAGATTATACATTGTCATTGAATCCACTCACATAGATTATACATTGTCATTGCATCCACTCACATAGATTATACATTGTCATTGCATCCACTCACATAGATTATACATTGTCATTGAATCCACTCACATAGATTATACATTGTCTTTGCATCCACTCACATAGATTATACATTGTCACTGCATCCACTCACATAGATTATACATTGTCATTGCATTCACTCACATAGATTATACATTGTCATTGCATCCACTCACATAGATTATACATTGTCATTGCATCCACTCACATATATTATACATTGTCATTGCATCCACTCACATAGATTATACATTGTCATTGCATCCACTCACATAGATTATACATTGTCATTGCATCCACTCACATAGATTATACATTATCATTGCATCCAATCACATAGATTATACATTGTCATTGCATCCACTCACATAAATTATACATTGTCATTGCATCCACTCACATAGATTATACATTGTCACTGCATCCACTCTTATAGATTATACATTGTCATTGCATCCACTCACATAGATTATACATTGTCATTGCATCCACTCACATAGATTATACATTGTCATTGCATCCACTCACATAGATTATACATTGTCATTGCATCCACTCACATAGATTATACATTGTCATTGCATCCACTCACATAGATTATACATTGTCATTGCATCCACTCACATAGATTATACATTGTCACTGCATCCACTCACATAGATTATACATTGTCATTGCATCCACTCACATAGATTATACATTGTCATTGCATCCACTCACATAGATTATACATTGTCACTGCATCCACTCACATAGATTATACATTGTCATTGCATTCACTCACATAGATTATACATTGTCATTGCATCCACTCACATAGATTATACATTTTCATTGCATCCACTCACATAGATTATACATTGTCATTGCATCCACTCACATAGATTATACATTGTCATTGCATCCACTCACATAGATTATACATTGTCATTGCATCCACTCACATAGATTATACATTTTCGAAAAGGGTGAAAATTTAAATAGATAAGGGAAAAACTATTTCTAGAAACTACACTTTATTTGAGGTACATATGAAAATGTTCAGCATGACTTTCACAATCACAAATGTCAACAAAAACCATCCCAACAAAGAACATATTTGTGTTCATGTCATACAATATTTATTTAGATGAAGAATTTAGATCTGCAAGTTTAAAGAACTGGATAGTTTACTGCATTCTCTCATCACCTTATAGAGAAGTTTGACCACGTGACCATTTTGTTCAGTGATATTGTGACGTTCACCAACATCGCTGCGGCTTGCACACCGCTGGACATTGTCAACATGCTCAATGAGATGTACCACAGGTTTGACATTAAGACAACAGTGCACGGGGTCTATAAGGTAAAATAGCATGGGACATAGTGGGGTCAAAATGTAAAGATCATGGGGCATAACATGGGGTCAATAAGGTAAAATTTCATGGGATATAACATGAGATCTAAATGTAAATATCATGAGACGTAACATGGGGTCTGTAAGGTAAAATTTCACTGGATATAACATGGGGTCTATAAAGTAAATTAGCATGTGACATAACATGGGGTTAAGGTAAATATCATGGGACATAACAAGGGGTCTAATGTAAATATATAGTGGGACATAACACGGGCTCTAAATGAAAATATCATTGGAGATAACATAGGACTTAGGGTAAATAGCATGCTACTTAACATTATGTCTGATTGTAAATATCATGCGACATAACATGGTGTCTGAATGTAAATATCATTTAGAGTACATGGGGTCTTTAAGGTATATATCACGGGGCATTGCAGGGGGTCCATAAAAGTTAAGTGTACTGGGACATTATACATGGAGACTGTGGACGTTTATCTCATGTTACGTTACGAAGGGTCTTTGAATTCGCCATCAGGTAGAGACTATTGGTGACGCTTACATGGTCGTGAGTGGGGTACCAGAGAAGACCGACGTACATGCCCAGCCTGTTGCTGACTTTGCCCTGGACATGGTCGAACAGGCGGCTTGTGTCATGTCTCCAGCCACGGGGAAGCCCTTGCAGGTCAGTTGGGACGGAAGACCTGAACCGAAAATTGGAACGGTTGCTCTGTGGGCGGGGCTGTAAGCGTGCCGACCTAATTATGTTTTGAATGAAATTGGTTTAAAAGTCTTAGACAATATATTTGTACCATTTGTGTAGAGCACTCTACTGTCTGAGTATCTATTACCATGATTTTTATTTTTAAAATCTAGATTCGTGTAGGTATCCATTCTGGACCGGTAGTGGCCGGAGTTGTGGGCCTTAAAATGCCTCGCTACTGTCTCTTTGGTGACACAGTTAACACGGCCTCAAGAATGGAGAGCCACGGAATACCTGGACGAATCCACTTGAGTCCCACCACCTACAGGTAAGTTAGATGTATACCTGGCACAATCCACTTGACTCCCACCACCCACAGTAAGTTAGATGTAAACAGGGACGAATTCACTAGATTCCAGCCACATACAGGTAAGTGAGATGTATACCTGACATAATTCGTTGAGTCTCACCCCCTACAGGTAATTTAGAGGTATACCTGGACGAATTCACGTGAGTTCCCTCCCCACCTACAGGTAATTTCCGATGCATACCTGGACGAATCCACTTGACTCCAACCAACCTCAGGTAAGTTACATGTATACCTGCTCACTCCACGTGAGTCCCACCACATACAGAGACCATTGCACAAGACAATAAAACATTTTCTGGAGCTTGGTCTGATTCTACGGCTAACATAGTTTTAGTCAGACCTGGAGCTTGGTCTGATTCTACGGCTAACATAGTTTTAGTCAGACCTGGAGCTTGGTTTGATTCTACGGCTAACATAGTTTTAGTCAGACCTGGAGCTTGGTCTGATTCTACGGCTAACATAGTTTTAGTCAGACCTGGAGCTTGGTCTGATTCTACGGCTAACATAGTTTTAGTCAGACCTGGAGCTTGATCTGATTCTACGGCTAACATAGTTTTAGTCAGACCGTTCGTGTAAAAGCGATGGGTGTATACATTATACATAAAGAAACTGTTGACGGAAGGGTTACATCTTCATTGGTTTATAAACAGCTGGATTTCCTCATCAACACCAGTAACAGAAACATTGCAAATCCCATCTACATGCATAGGAGCCAAAATGATCAATAAATTGATCGTGGGCCCTTAAGATATAGAAGAAGAAGGTGAAGGTTTATTATATGTAGGTTGGCACTGGGTTAGGTTGGTGTGCCCCACTCATACGACTGGGTTAGGTTTGTGTGCCCCACTCATACGATTGTTTATGTTCAATTTATGTTTAACCCTCCTACCATTAGGGCACTGCAAGGTCAAGGCTACCTGTGCAAGCCCAGGGGCGAGAACCACATAAAGGGCAAAGGAATTATGGAGACATTTTTTCTGGTCGGGAATCGAAACCACTCCATATCAGAGCCGACTGATGAGTTCTCTCCCCTACCATTCCTTGAGGACACCGCTCTGCCGACTGATGAGTTCTCTCCTCTACCATTCCTTGATGACACGGCCCCGGATGATGGTAATATTTTATATTCACTTGTCAAATTATGCAGCGTTAATACAAGTTAATGACGACACTTAAATAGGTTGACAGCATGTTTTTGATGTGAAGTTGTTGAAGTGAAGTTGTTGATGTGAAGTTGTTGATGTGAAGCTGTTGATGTGAAGCTGTTGATGTGAAGCTGTTGATGTGAAGCTGTTGGTGTGAAGCTGTTGATGTGAAGCTGTTGATGTGAAGCTATTGATGTGAAGCTATTGATGTGAAGTTGTTAATGTGAATTTGCCTATGTTAAGTTATTGACATGATATTGTGTCTTGGGTGGGTTGCATAATCATTGGAATGATGGTGTGTGTGTGGGTGAGAAAGGGGGTATGCGCGGGGCAAAATCATCAACTGGACATGTTCATTTGACTAATGACGTAATCAGCACTCAACTGTTCTGAAAAATTGATTTTATTAGTATCAGCCCGCAACGTTTGTATAAAAAGAACGTATTGATTTTTAACTCGATACAGTTTTGTTGTTTTCTCATGTGAGCCTTGTTTAGATCAAAGTGTTGCAGGGGAGACAAAGATTGGGATTGTCCACATTCTTTGTGCAGTTATCTCTCTTTGATATACATCATCGCAAGAAATTTGTCTCATTTGGTTTTTTCTTTGCAATCAGTTTCAAATTTAATGGCGGTGGGTTGTTTTTTTTTTTTAAAGTGCAACTTCAATCTTCTTTTTAAAACTAAAAGTTATCAAAGAACTCCGTCCATTCGTACTGTAAGTTATAATTTATTTTTATGGGGTTGAGGTTTTCATTTTGTTCCCTTCTGCCAGAGGCGTAAACAAACACCAGGATTCGATGTTGGTAGCTCTATCGCCAATCGACACATGTTTCGAATAGACCAGGGCCGTCATAACACCAATGAGGCCCATATTCCGCTCTAGCCTATTCAAATTATCATTTTATTGTAAGGGAAAAAGCATTTGGGCACCACATTGGACCATCCGTTATGACCAGTGTTTCTTTCAAACATCGTGGGGGGGGGGTGGGGGGCTGCCCGCTCCCGGAGACTATGCTTTTGGTTCCAGCATAGTTTCGCCCTTGAATCTATATAGCCCAACTTTATATATACCAAACAAAAGGACAATAATTTTTGATAAGTTTCAGAACAAAATGTATTTACTAACATCCAGTGATTTATTGTTCATAAAAAGTTGCCTGTGCTCAGTGAGCCCCTACGCAGAAAATTGCAAATAAATTCAAAATGTTAGAGTACATTTTGGCGCATACCTTAATTTAGTTTTGCACCATTCTACACTTGATCGGTAAGCAAAGGAAGCGGTACTGATAGAAATGCTTGCTCTCTTGACCTGGTTGTGTTTATAAAAACCAGTTTTTTTTTGTTTGTTTGTTTTTTTTTAATTGTTTCTATTTTTTTTTTTAGTCACAAACAAATAAAAATTCGAGAATGCAAAAAAAATCATTATAAGTATGATAATAAATTTTGGCATTTGTTTAACATTTAAATATCTCCAAATGAGTGGCTGGAGACAACAAAGATTAAGCGTTTTAATTAAAATATAATTTCGACAACCCCCCCCCCCCTTCCCCCCTCCCCCTCACAACCGCATAATCAAATGTGGTTATTATTAGTTTCAAATCCATGAAGTCTTTAAAGGTATTCTGAAAGCAATCTCTACCAGGTTTGGCCAAGATGCAGCAATGTACGTAGAAGTAAGGGCTTGCGTTGTAAAAATAGCCTTCTTGTGTAGCTCCTGCTATTACAAGCAAACTACATTGTAGAGCTTTCTACATTCATTTGGAACTTTCTAGAAACTTTAAAAAAATATTTGAATCTTATCTAAGAGAAGGCAGCTCGTCTAAGGGAAGGCAACTCATCTAAGAGAAGGCAGCTCGTCTAAGAGAAGGCAGCTCGTCTAAGAGAAGGCAGCTCGTCTAAGAGAAGGCAACGCGTCTAAGAGAAGGCAACTCATCTAAGAGAAGGCAACTCATCTAAGAGAAGGCAACTCGTCTAAGAGAAGGCAACTCATCTAAGAGAGGGCAACGTGTCTAAGAGAAGGCAACTCATCTAAGAGAAGGCAAATCATCTAAGAGAAGGCAACTCATCTAAGAGAAGGCAGCTCGTCTAAGGGAAGGCAACTCATCTAAGAGAAGGCAGCTCGTCTAAGAGAAGGCAGCTCGTCTAAGAGAAGGCAACTCGTCTAAGAGAAGGCAACTCGTCTAAGAGAAGGCAGCTCGTCTAAGAGAAGGCAGCTCGTCTAAGAGAAGGCAGCTCGTCTAAGAGAAGGCAACGCGTCTAAGAGAAGGCAACTCATCTAAGAGAAGGCAACTCATCTAAGAGAAGGCAACTCGTCTAAGAAAAGGCAACTCATCTAAGAGAGGGCAACGTGTCTAAGAGAAGGCAACTCATCTAAGAAAAGGCAAATCATCTAAGAGAGGGCAACGCGTCTAAGAGAAGGCAACTCATCTAAGAGAAGGCAACTCATCTAAGAGAAGGCAACTCATCTAAGAGAAGGCAGCTCGTCTAAGGGAAGGCAACTCATCTAAGAGAAGGCAGCTCGTCTAAGAGAAGGCAACTCCTCTAAGAGAAGGCAACTCGTCTAAGAGAAGGCAACTCGTCTAAAAGAAGGCAACTTATCTAAGAGAAGGCAACTCGTCTTAGAGAACGCAACTCATCTAAGAGAAGGCAACTCATCTAAGAGAAGGCAACTCGTCTTAGAGAAGGCAACTCATCTAAGAGAGGGCAACGTGTCTAAGAGAAGGCAACTCATCTAAGAGAAGGCAAATCATCTAAGAGAATGCAACTCATCTAAAGAGAAGGCAACTCTGAATACAAACCCGGAGGAGTCTCGACTGCCGCTTGACAAAGACACAAAGAAAATTCCGTCAACTTGACTGGGTCTTATTAGAGTCTTGCACGGGATCAAAGAAAATATGTGAAACAAAGTGTAAAACAAAGTGTTAAACAAAGTGTGAAACCTTAAAAAACAAAGAAACAAAAAACAGCCAATGAGACTGCAAGAAGCCCTCATCACCGAACAAACAACAAAGTATTTTTCTACACTAACTCATACGTTTCGTTTAAATCTAATTTAATTTAAGACAATTTGATTATTTCATCAAAGTAATGCCCCAGAGATCTTTGCCCCCACCAGGCAAGATTAATGACCCACATATCGTTACCCAAGCCAAGACTAATGCCCCTTATATCTTTATCCAAGCCAAGAGTAATGTCCCATACAGCTTTGCCGCAGTCAAGAGTAACGTCCTGTATAGCTTTTTCCCCAGCCAATTCACTCTTCCTTCTAGTTTCCAGGCAATCCTGACCAGCTGATGTCATGTTCGCTGGAGCGAAAATCTGCCGATGGAACTGAAGACCCAAACGGCCTTGACCTCACGCCTTCCTCGTCAAGTGTCGACTCGTCAGTCAGCTGCCCTGCAACCAAGACCAACCAGTCTCAGCAGAAGGCAGACATTGCTGACGAACGCGGCAACCTCGTGGACGGCAAGCCCAGACTTCATTCACCAGGAGAGTTACTGTCCCTGACAGACATACCTGTCGACCACGTATCTGACCACGTAGCTGACCACGCAGCTGACCGCGCAGTACTGGCAAAAGAGGTAGTGGATGGAAGCGAGGCGTCGGGACAGCAGAGCATGAATTCCCGATACCAGCAGCAGGCATCCAGATGTTGTTTCCAGCCTCCCGACGTGGCGTCATGGGACTCGGACATTGATCAGAGTTTACACAACAGTAAAACGTGTCACATTTTGTAAAAAACAAATTGGTCAGAGTAACGTCCCACTTCGTTTTACTTGGGAAATGATTCTTTTTGAATTTCAATAGTGGCATAT